AGTACCTGTCTCAGTTTTCAGAAGAGCTGAAACATTACTTCCCAGCCACCGAAGACCCCAAACCGGAAAGGAATAGACCCAGGATGCCTTTTGAGTAAGCCAAGTCAATACCCTTTGACTCTGTGCCAGAAGAGGATGAACTTCTTGAGGTGGCCTTAAAATTATGTTTGAGATCGTTGCAAGTCTCCATGTGTTCTAGATTAAAGTCAAGGCCGACTACCCTGAGGTACCAGGAGAGCACTGCAAAGCCGCTGCCAACGTCCTGTCATTGTGAAGCAGGGTTTGTGGCAGCGACAGCATCTAAAATGAAGTGATAGGACAGTGAACCTAGGCAGCACAGGTGGGGGCCACTGTCCCCCACCTCTTAGATGGGCTCATCTAGCTGAAGGAAAGGCCAGGTTGTGCATTATGGTGCATCGTATATTGATTCTGTCATATGTTACGATCTGATAATAGTGGATACAAATACACAGTGTAGTGTAGTGTAACAGGCTTCAGTCATTCCAACCGCAACCCCAGGTCTGTGAGAAACCTGGTGTTAAAAAGGTCAGGGACTGCTGCCCTAAATGACCTTGAACCTGCACTTGGTCCCTACACTCGCACACGCTTCTTGAGTCAGTGTTTGTCACAGAACAATAGGGCATGCGGTTTGCTTGTTCGTTTTGTGGTGCTAAAGATCAGAGCCAGGGCTTTACCCATGTTAGACCAGAGTTCTACCACTGAGCTATATCCCTGGCGCTCTCGATTTTATCTTTAGGCATCTTACTAAATTGCTGAGGCTAGTGTGGATCTTTGTATCTTCCTGTGAGCGCTCTCTTACCCCTAGCACCCTGGGTTATAGGTGTGTGCCACCATGCCCAGCCAAATACACTCTTTAAAACAAAAAATCACCTGTAGTCACTCCATCACTAAAGTAGATATAGAAACTTTTAAATAGTACTTGATAAAGCAGATATACTACTTTTATCTGAATTTTTCTTGTGCCAAAGTATTTAACTTTTTTTTTCTTGAGATAGGGTCTCAATAAAGTGCCCATGCCAGCCTTGAGTTTGTGATCCTGATGCAGCCTCCAAGTAACTGTGATACAGGCATGTGCCACAGTGTCCAGCTTAAAAATTAACTTCTTTTTCATATATTTGGTACAGGGTCTCACTACAGCAGCTCGGACTCATAGTGATCCTCCTGTCTCAGCCTCCCCAGTGCTGGGATAACAGGCATGGGCCACCATGCCCAATTTTGGTGGCCAGCTCAGCATGCATGTGGTACTGGGGATTGAACTCAGGACCTTGTGCTTGCCAGGCAGTTGTTTATGCCACTGAGAATTCTCCCCACCCCCAAGAAAGGATTTTTTAAAAGGCAGCATGTTCTGTAAAATATGCCTTGCGAAGGACTGCTGCCCATTTGACTGGAGCAGAGAGCAAATCTGGGTCAATTCAGGTGAAAGAGTACCACCCTAGTATCCCCTAGTTGTTGAGGGCTGATTAGACCCACAGTCTCCAAAGGAGTGCATGCCAAAAGCAAATAAATGAGACAAATAAAATGATTTTAGGGTTCCAGGAGAATCCAAGCCCTCTCACAGAGATTTTTCTGGGGCTTTAGACAAAGAACTTCTCTGGGCTGCCTGCATTTATTAGCTTTTCAAGCAAAGGAGGGAAAAATGCTGGGGAGATAGCTCAACGACATAAGCACCTGCCTGGCAAGTACAAGGTCCAGCATTTGATCCCTCATACAAAAAATAATATATATATTTGAAGAATATATATATAATATTGAAGAAAATGCAGGAGTCTGGGCCGGACTTGGGAACCCCTTTGAGGACTTCTTCTCCAAGTAATACACTGTGTTAATCTAGGAGAATTGTGTTATCTCCAGGAAGGCTTTCACCACAGAAGGCTAGAGCTGCAGTCTCCTTTTCATTAATTGGGGTTGGAGCCCAAACATGCTCAGCCATGGTCTTACCTTGTCCTTTGAGGCATCCGGCTTCACAGGCCTCGGCAGGACCAGCGACTCCCAGAGGTTCTCCTACTCTGAGTCTGCTGCCCATCTCCAGGCAAGGCCCAAGCTTTGGATAGCCTCACGTGTAACATGAAAAGCCAGTTGCTTAATATTAAATCCTGCTCGGAGCAGCTTCCTAGTCGGTTCCATCAAAAGAGAATGAATGGAGCCTTAGAAATAGTTCTCAAGCCAGGTGTGGTGGCACAAGCCTGTAATCCCAGCACTTGGAGGCTGAGACTAGAGGATTGCCAGGTGTTAAAAATTAGAAAGGAGGGCTGGAGAGATAGCTCAGCAGTCTAACCGCCTACCTGGCAAGCACAAGGACCTAGGTTCAATCCCCGGTACGGTTTACCATGCCAGGTGTACCGTGCTGTCTACCGAGACCAGGTGTGGTGGCGCACCCTGTAATCTCTGTAATCTCAGTGCTGGGGAGGCTGAAAACAGGAGGATCCCTATGAGTGTAAACTGTATAGGGGGACCCTGTATAAATAATAATAATAATAATAATAATAATAATAATAAAAGGAAGAGGGCCAGCCAAATAGCTCAGCGGATTAAAGCACCTGCAAGCAGGCACAGGGGCCAGGGGTTCAGTCCCCGGGCCTGCCATGCCAGCCTGCCCCTGGGCACACTGAGACGGCAATTGAGGCTGGGCATAGTGGCATACGCTTGTAATCCCAGCTCTTCAGAGGCTGTCTGATCTAATAGTGAGACCCTGAACACCCTGTAGACCCTTCCCTAAAATACAAAAAATAAATAAACGTTAGGAAGAAAGGGAGGGAGGGAGGCAGGCAGATCTGGACCTAACTGGCAGAAGCACCGTGATGCTCACAGCCATGCCCCTGAAACAGGACGCAGGAAAACAATACCAAGTGAGAACTTTCTGCTGACTTGCACAGAGTACAAACCGACTGCAGTTGGCAGCTGTGAAGACAGGCGTGCGGGCAAGTGAGGTCACAGTGTATTAATGTGTACCCAAGTGGAGTTGGGCCACTTTCATTAATGTTTCAGTCTGAATCAGTTCATCTGAAACAGCACCAAGACCTCTTGCTTGAGGTTAGGTCGGTGAAAACAGCGGAACCCAAGTAGCGAGGAAACACATTTCTGTGTAGTATTGATTGTCCTCACCTGATAAAAGCAGCCGAATCTTCATGGACATGTATTTAATTTGTCATTGCCTAATGAAATGTATGCTCATGCTTTTGTTCTGATGGGGCTGGTGTTATAGGCAGCTGAGTTAGGTAGAAATATTGTAAGCAGTCAGACAGGGCTGAGCCCTCAGCAGGAGCCAGTATGGAGGGCCAAATGCCTCAGAGAGACACACTTCTTTTGTGGGTCAGACAGCAAGACAAAGATCAAACAAATGCTTACCTCCCTAAAGGTAAACATCCAGGATTGACATTCTAAATAGGTGTCTCCCCTTGAGGAAACCAGGAAGTCACTGACCCAGCCCCCTACAGGAAGAGCCCCTGTTCTGTATTCATGCCTGCTTGCTACTGACGTCTGTGACTCGCTTCCCTATTTGGTCCTGGATTTAATCGATTTTACCTGAGCAACTATACTTATAATCTTATTGGTTGACCAGTTTTGTCCCACTTCATGCCCACCCAGTGATTTCCCTTGTTCTCCACCTTAGACCCGCTTCACCACATGGTTTTGCTCTATGAAAATCCCTGGAGAAAGATAGATTTGAGGGCAACCTGCTCAGGCCCCTGTCTGTCCCTCTCAGACAGAAGTTTTCTTTCCCCCAATAAATATATTCTGCTCTTAACCTCTGTTCCTAAAATTCATTCTTTGGTTTTAAGAGCTCAAACTTTTTTTTTTCCCCCCTGGATCCAGGGATTGAACTCAGGCCCTTGTGCTTGCCAGTGAAGCACTTATTCCACTGAGCCATCTCCCCGGCCCCCTATTCTTTGGTTTTAGAAAACACAAACTCAGCCCAGGTTATCTTTCAGGTCGGGAGTTTGCTTCCCCAATATCCTGTTTGAGGTTAGGTCAGAGAAAACAATGGAAGCCCTGAGTAGCAAGGAAACTCGCATTTCTATGTGATAGTGATGTGCCCTAACCCAATAAAAGCACCTGTGTCTTCAAAGGCATGTATTTAATTTGTCATCGCCTGATGAAACGTGTGTTCGTACTTTCATCCTTATGGTTCTGGGGTCCAGCACAGGACTGTGTGTGCATGTACACCAGGTTCCTAGGCAGGCACCCTCCCTCTGGGTTGTATCCCCAGCGCAGGTATCTGTGACTTTAAATAGATTCATGGCTGTTGTTATTGTTGCACCAATGTCTATGAGTTTGTGTGTGTGTGTGTGTGTGTGTGTGTGTGTGTGTGTGTGTGTTTTCTGGGGCTGGAGCTCAGGGCCTCTCACATGCTAGGCAAGTGTTCTGTTGCTGAACTGTAGCTCCAGGCTGGAATGTAATTGGGTTGTGGCTTTTTTTTTTTAAACAGGATCTTGCTGTGTAGTCCAGGCTGGCCTCGAACTCATGGCTATCCTCTGTCGTCCTCCCTCAGCCTCCAGAGTGCTGGGATCAGAAGTACATGCCGCCACACCATGGCTGGCTGGCTGGTTGGGTTGGGTTCAGTTAGGTTCGGTTCAGCTTGGTTTGGTTTGCTTGAGGCCCGAGTCTCACTGTGTTGCCCACACTGGTCCCGAACTCCTGAGCTCAAGGAACCCTTCCCCAGCCTCAGCTTCCTCAGGTAGCTGGAGTTAGTTATAGCTCCCCCAGATTTTAAATGGCCACTTAACAGTCAGTGTTTACCGAATGTCCCCTTGTCCCTACAAGGCTGATTGCCCTCAGCTTCCTATAGCCTCATGCTTGCCAATTCCACAGCTCCATAACATGTTTAAAAAGGAAATCAGTCCATGGGCCTTCTCTTAAATAAAAAAATGAGGGCAGAGCCCTCCTGTCACATGATCGCCCTTCCTCGCTCCTCCTGGCTGCTCTGCCTTCCCTGCGCAGCTTCTCTTTTGGCTGTGGGCCCTTTAAGCTCAGTAACTCCTAAGCAACTGTCAGGGCTGCAACTGTCATGGTTCCACGCCTGCTCCAGGTTCTGAGAAACACTGGGGTTAGGAGAGCCTGGAGGAGTCATGGCCCCTGAGGGCATCCCTGAAGGTAAGACCTTGCTGGAGGGGAGTTTTGTACCCTGTTCTCTGGTCTTCTTTTCCTGTGCTCTGTGAACAGTGTGATGCGGCTGTCCCTAGCCAGTCACAGAGCTGGCAGAGGCACTCTGGCAGGTGCTCACTGGCTGTGACTTTAGGAGCTTTTAGGCACCACAGGGCCTCTAAGCCGCCTTCCCTGTTCGTGCTGTGCTGGACTTCTGCAGGCTGGCTGGGGTGAGGAATTCTTTGGCTCTGGAACAGGTTTCCCTGAGCTGCGCTGATAGAGCTGGTGCCGCTGTGTTGTGGAAGCTGCCTTGTAGTTCCAGCTTGCACATCTTAATTTTGATTTAAAGCTTCAGATAGAGAGAACACGTTTTCCTTGAGGGAGCTTTTTAGATGGGCTTAGTCTGAGACAAGTCCCAGAAAACATTCGTGCTCGGAAAGTTGCGCACATCTCCACAGCCACCTTTCCCGTAATGGGGACAGCGTTACCTGCTCTGTCGCTAACATCTTCTTTACTCTGTGTCCCAGCGCCAGCGTGCTGCTCTGCCCGCTACAACTTGGCCCTTTTGTCCTGCTTTGGCTTCTTCGTGCTCTACGCCCTACGTGTGAACCTGAGCGTGGCGTTGGTGGAAATGGTCGATTCCAACACGACTGCCGCAGACAACAGAACTTCCAGAGAGTGTAAGGAGCATTCGTCGCTCGTGAAAGTGCCTCGTAATCAAACGGTAGGTGCTTCTAAAGCAGACAGCCTGGACCGCCTAAAGTGCTGCCAGGGGCAAGCACTGCAGTCCCTCCATCCACAAGGCCAACGGTCGCTTTTCTGTGTTCTCTGGGCCGCGTTCTTCGTGTGCACCGGGGAGCTGGTTGGACAGTAACATAGCTGGCTGCTGCGCTTGGGCTATCTGTTCCTCAATCTGTTCGAGGAGTAGCTCTTCAGTTTCCTCTGTAACTACACCATCCTCGAAAAGAATTTGGAAGAACTTGTTTGGCATATCAGGAAACTAGGCTGCTTTGATTATTGCTAGTTTTTATGGGGCCATTATGCAGTAGCTCTTGTACTTACAGAGTTACAGCTACAGGAGAGTTTCAGTAATCCCAGGTACAGAATGAGAAATGAAAACCAGTCAATTTCTTAGGACAGTCTTTGCCCAAATTTAAACATGGCATAGCCAGGAGTGGTGGCGCACGCCTGTGATCCGAGCACTCGGGAGGCTGAGGCCGGAGGATTGCCATGAGAGGGAGGCCAGCCGGGGCTACATACGGAAAATTTGTCTCAAAATAAATAAATAAAACTAAAAAATAAATAAATGGGCACTGGGTGTGGTGGCGCACACCTGTAATCACAGCACTTGGGAGGTTGAGGCAGGAGAATCATTGCGAGTTCAAAACCAGCCTGGGTTTCAGAGTGAGCTCAAGGCCAGCCTGGCTGCAGAGCAAGACCCTGTCTCAAAGAGACATAAATAAATAAATTGGGGCTGGGGATGTGGCTCAGTGGAATAAGCGCTTCCCTGGCAAGCGCGAGCACCTGAGTTCAATTCCCAGTTCCACCAGATAAATAAATAAACAAACAAACTTAAGCTAAGTCACTTTAAGTCATCTTGCCTACCTCATGTTAGAATGAAACTGATAGGTGGGTGTTCATGTGTTTAGGGCTGAGTTTTCCGCACTTCATACTTTGCTCTGCTTTACTTAACATTAACAGTGTTGCTGAACACTTGGATCCACGGCAGGCAGTTTCTCCACTCCACCCCGTGACCTTCCTGGGTAGCCCCATTCACAAAACCTAGAATACTACCTGTAAGCCACAAACTGGATAAAAGGTGGTTTGCTTAAAATCTTTCCCTTTGATGGGTGCGTTTGTTGAGTCAGCCACTCCACTTACCTGCACCTGCCCTACACAGTCAGGAGAGATCCTGGGGTGGCCCCGACATGGCCTTGCCTGTCCAGTGCAGATGCTGGCGTCTGCCTGTGGCTCTGCTGGTTCAAAGACAGGCCCTGTGCAAGAGAAGTCTATAGCTTTGCTGAACCTTGGGGCCAAAGTGGGCCCGGTGGGGAAACCCGCCTTAAGGTAAAATTTGCAGAGGCCTGGGGCTGTAGGCCAGCACTGCCCTACTCACCTTGTCACTTACACTGTCATTGTGTCTACCTCATTGCACTGAGACAAGGGAGCTGTTTAGTGAAGGTCTTAAAGAATTGGTTTTTCCTTGTGCTTTTTCCAGGGTAAGAGGTACGCATGGGATGCGGAAACTCAAGGATGGATTCTCGGTGCTTTTTTTTATGGCTACATCGTCACCCAGGTCCCTGGAGGCTATTTTGCCAGCAGAATAGGGGGCAAGCTGCTGCTGGGCTACGGGATC